AAAAGTTTTTTTTAAGTTTTATCTCAGGGGGGAGTATTGCGGGGACTTATTGCCACAAATCAGCGCAGTTAGCGCCACAGTCTGGACAAATTTTATTTTCAGCCAATAGGCTTTCTTATCTTGTCAACGTGTATTCAGAGACAGAAGTAGTTCCCGCCAGAGAGTCGATATAGATGTGTGTGACCTCCATATTGTCCGGTAAAAGACTTCTTGTTAATAAATTGAGTCTTAAATCCTCAACGTGTTTTGCACTCCGCCGAATGAACATTGGTGGGACCTTCACAATCCTCTACAGGATCCTGTGCTACATCCCCACAAATATGATCCTTGTCGCGTCATCTGTCGGTCGCGTTACGGTGACTCGCGAGCGCATGTACCGATAGCATGATCTCGAGACTCTCGTTCCCCGGGCGCCAAATCCGCGACAGGTATGTTTTGTTTTAACGTCCGGAGCGCCCGGGGACCGGGTCAGACGTCTTTTCGCTCGCACAGACAAAAGATCGTTTCGCGTACCGAGTATACTTTAACAGTTTCTCCGGTGTTCTTTGTTCGATCCCGCGTGCGACCAAGTGCCGGGAATCTTATCCAATTCTATCTCGTGAGCCTGCGCTCAGTGCGCGCCCGCATATGAGCCCTGGTAACACAATCTGACAGTTCAGATACGACCCGCAGAAGTGCGCAAGAAACAGCCCAAAATTGCGACAGAAGTGCATAATATCTGGTATTGACAAGTACTTGCTTACTATTGCAGCAGTCTGCTGTAAGAAGCTACTGTAAAATTTTATACTATTTGTTAAAAGTAGATATGCAGCAGAAATGTGAAAACAATATTGAAGTATCTGCCTGACAGAAAAATAACAGCAAATCGCGTTAAACTCTTCATGCACATTTGCAGCAGAGTTTTGAGTACAGATCCGACCGGCAGAAACGCGAAAAGAACGTATAAGCATCTGCCGTAATTCTTGTTGAATTTTGCTATATGTATTACTACCCAGCTAACAAGACAACGTCGAAATGACGTGAAAAATACATGATTTTAATGACGATAACGTCATGTGACTTAAATAGTACGTAATTTTGACGTCATTTTAAATACTAAAATAGTACGTCATTACTGTTACGTCAAAAAGACGTACCATTAATGTCGAAGATATCAATTATACACATATAATGACATATAATGTCAAAGATATAAAATAATTAAGAAATTGAAAATCTCATCAAAATATGCAACGCGCGAACAATGCTATGTCATTATTTGAGCATACAAAATACATTTATATCTTCGACGTTAATGGTACGTCTTTTTGACGTAACAGTAATGACGTACTATTTTAGTATATTTAAAATAACGTCAAAATTACGTACCATTTAAGTCATATGACATTATCGTCATCAAAATTACGTATTTGTCACATCATTTCGACGTTGTCTTGCTATAATCTGATTAAACAATTATCATTCAGATTAATTTTGAACATAGTATTTATACAACAATGTTTGTAATCGAAGTGTCAAAGACTGCGATTACAAATCTTTCAAGGAAAATATACTTAAAAGTCTGGGACAATTTAGAATTTCTCAGTATATCTCAAATAAAGTATGCTGTGTGGGTTACGTTCAAAAATAATTTTTAACATTTAATAAAAGCATGTTATGTGTATGATTATATTGCACAAATTGCAAGAAAGAGATATATCAGAGCCGAAGGATCACCGCTATCCCATTCGATCATCGAGGTTAAGCAACGTTGAGTGTGGTTAAAACTTGAATGGGTGACCACGACTTTACCGTTCTTCACACCCGACCGCGAAAGTGTTGCTAATTTCTATAATCTTTGAAGTCCGGAATTTGTTCATTAATTTTTTTTCTTTATTATTAATATGAATATACACAAAGTATTATTGCATATGTTATGCAATATACATATTATATGAAACAAATCTAGCACGATTATATTGCACTGCGATTTGCGTTTTCCGCATTTCTTGCACTTTTCTGCTGTACGTAAACGCATACACATATCTTCAACAATTCTGTTGCACTACGATGAGTGCAAGTTTCTGCCAACAGAAAGATAGTCAAAGTTGGAAATAGAAAACGCATGATCTGCCCGAAAGTTACTGCATGATTTTTCGTACAGTTTTACAGCAGAATTGCAATGGAAATGTTACCAGGGAGAATTCGAGCGTTCTTGCTCGTCGATACTTTCTGGTGCTAACTTTGTGATAATTGCGCACGATCGTCGTGGAGTGCGCGAACGCGTGATCCCGCCTGCTCCGCGCCAAGATTTCCACCGGTCGCGACAAGATTTCCGAACGGTCTCGGAGCGCACACAAGCGTTTCCGAAAGTGAAGATTTCCGCTCGTGATTTCAGAGCAAATTTGCGGGCTTTGAAGATCTCCGTTTCGTGTGGCCGTTCGATCGCTCCACGTTCTCGATTGTTCGGTGACCTCAGCTGAGGACTGAAAACAGTGGTGTGTTAGATTTCGAGACCCAACCGCCCGATTAGCTCCACGGTCAATCTGTTTCTCGAGTTTTCGTCTTGTGTTAAATCCGTTAGGTTAGGTTAGGGTTAGGATTAGAGACGCCCTGTATATTTCATATGTTATATAATAAATATATAAAAATATATAATTGTAATTTCTTTATATATATATGTATATGTCACGAACATAACAGACAGAGAGGCAAAATAGAGTGGCCGCAGGAGGCATGAGAGGAAGCGAGAGACAAAATATTGTCTTGCGCAGACAATGTTTTGTCTCTCGCTCCCTCTCATGCCCCCTGCGGCCACTCTATTTTGCGTCTCTGTCTACTGGGTATATCTTCTATGTTTATGGTTAAATACCTCATACTGCATATCACAACGATTGCACTACACGGTTCTCGGACTGAGATATGAGATATCGATCCGAGATCTGTCACAAGAGTTATGTTTTATTACATTATTAAAACATACGTCACCGACCGCGCACACTCACAATCAGTTACACAGTCTTTTGTCGCACTAGTGGCACTTGACAAGACACCTCACAATCAGTCCCTAACACGAGACACGTTATTATTAAATAAATCGGCACAAAGGTTAAGTTCACTCTATTTACGGGCGCTCGTATAAGTCGGTAACGTCAGTCACGTCAGCCGTGCTTGCGAGCGCCACGTGCGGCAGAAATATGAAAAGGAAATCGTGGCCGGTTGACGACGACGACGACGACGTGGACGACGTTTCTTACGCGAAATTCACAACCGCGGACTTTGTATTGCAATATCTCCACTCATGGGGCACGTAGGAGAAAAGTAAAAACACTTTTATTATGCAAATCGTACCCAAGCGACGCCTATACCTCATACATCTGCTTTTCCCAAAAATCAAATCGTCGTATCATAATCACGAGACACGGTAGTGTCTCGCGCCAAGTATAAGCGAAAAGTTTCAAGTGACAAGCTAGAACCGCGCGTGCGAGACCGACCGTGTAGGTAGGTCTGCGAAACCTGAAGTTTGAACAGATTCCACACCCTCCTTACTCCCCCGATCTTGCGTCTTGTGATTTTTATTTTTTTCCTCTACTGAAGAGAGACCTCAAGGGTAATCATTACACCTCGGACGATGAGGTGAAGGCAGAGCTGTCAAGTCCTGGATTGGAGAAAAGTCGGAAAAACTTTTCAGTGATGGAATGAAAAAACTTGTTACACGTTGGGAGAAATGTGTTAGCCTTAACGGTGACTATGTTGAAAAATAAATATATGATTTTGAAGCTTAAGAATTGTACTTTAATGTACTTTTTGCCCGATCTCGCTATTTGTTTTTGTTCGTGTTCTACAAGCATGTGTGCATTACTTTTCAGCCTACCCACGTATTATCACAAACGATTTCAGTACGTGGCATGAATTCTTTTTCAATATCTTTTTCATCGTATTGGTCAGCATCACTGTATTGATCATGTTGACTGAAATCGCTCCCATCAACATCATCTTCACTTCCGTCATTATTACTCTCATTGCTAATGTCAACTTCATTTCCTGATTTTCATTTAAATTCAGATTTTCTTCACTTGCACTTTTACTTGCAAAACAGTTTTCCTGACTTTCACATTCATCAGAGTTTTTTTCACTGCCACTTCTATCAAAATTTCCCATCGATAACCTGTTTTTCGAATCGCACGAAACCTTTTAATACGTATTCGTGTTAATTTTCTAATTTTTTCCATACGATCCATAATTTTTTATTTCAACTAATGATTATAATTATTATTTTAAATAAAATTTATTAAATTATTATTTTGAAGTTGCAATTTATAGTATACTATTATATAATAATCGAGAGTTATCATTGTGAAGTTGCATGCAACTTCAAAATGATGCGTGAGCACGTTCGATAGAAAATTTTAGACAAAACCTAACCAGGGTCGCATAAAGACTTCCTCGATCAGGCGCTAATAGAGCAGCCCTCATTATGGCGTTGACAGAGAATGCCACAATACGGCAACCCTGATCCAAGCACTAACAGATCCGGATCAGGCTTTCCAGAATAAAGCATGCCATGACATTACCTGATAGCACCCGGAGCAAAATGCAGGCAAACCTTAACCATTTTCTACTCGGGAATGTTATCACTACTGCGCCAGTTATTGCAACTCTGGCAAATGGTATGTGGCCGTTTATGATACCAATGCTGAGTCTATACTGGATATAACTACGGCTGAATCAGAATCGTTTCCCAAGGAGCGCCAATGCACGTATAATATGCTTTAAATGTACATTTAAATTCACATTTAGTGCACGTATTTGTCCCGCATCAAATGCACATTTAATGTATATTGTGGCAGTACATTCCAAAAAAAACTGTACTATTAACCGCCTATATATAATTTTTCATGTATAAACATTTATAAATATAGAGAATTATATTAAATTATATATCTCAAATATGCCCAAACATGTTACATTCGCGCATTTTAAACACACAAGTAACGTTTTGTTTTGAAACCAATGCAATAAAACGCGCATTAAAAGTACGTTCTATGTGCATTGGCGCTCCTTGGGTTGTCAGTATTAGATCGAAATTATGTATCATTCGACGCTGCGCCAGTGCTGGATTAGTAGTATTACAAATACCACGACAATACCGCAATTCTGACACCCATTACAGGCCCAGTACTAGGCTGGTCGCAAAATCTCGTATGGGATGTTACCTCCACTAGTGAGAAGTCCAGTTCCGAACCAAGGATGTAATATATCATAAAGAATACTTTTTTCGATATGTTTCGTGCTGCTTAATATTACCTTAAAAAAATAAAGACCATTAATATGTATTAATAATTATAACAATATATTATAATTTCTTTTATATTTTATCACCTCTAAATCATCGGGATGACGGACGTGTACTATGGGAAAAAAAAGTTCCCACAATTTTAAAATGGGATAGTATTGGTTAGGCAAGCTCACCAACAACTTCCACAGTTTCTCTAATAAATATATATATATACATATAGATACGTTTACTATATAAAATTACATAAATATTATAAATATGGTAATTATGGAGAATAGGAACTTTTCCGAATTTTGATATTTTCTTGCGGTTTTCTTGGTAAAAACCTTTGTTGGGACTCCGACAGTGATAATCAATCGGGGGAGCCCGAAAAATATGCACCCCGAGTGACCTTCAGAAGGTTTTAGCCGTCTGTCGTACGTCATGGCATCGGACACAGGCCCGATAGGACACGGACTCGATCGGACACATTTTGTATCGGGTTTGCATATTTCTGTAAAGCACAATATTCTTGTGTGCGTATGGACTTACAAATGATGGAAAATTATCTGCTTTACAGAACAGTTAACCCGGGTTAACCTTCTGACAGTGATAATCAATCGGGGGAGCCCGAAAAATATGCACCCCGAGTGACCTTCAGAAGGTTTTAGCCGTCTGTCGTACGTCATGGCATCGGACATAGGCCCGATAGGACACGGACTCGATCGGACACAGGCCCGATCGGACACATTTTGTAACGGGTTTGCGTATTTCTGTAAAGCACAATATTCTTGTGTGCGTATGGACTTACAAATGATGGAAAATTATCTGCTTTACAGAACAGTTAACCCGGGTTAACCTTCTGAAAGTCACTCGGGGTGCATATTTTTCGGGTTCCCCCGATTGATTATCACTGTCAGAGTCACAACAAAGGTTTTTGCCAAGAAAACCGCAAGAAAATATCAAAATTCGGAAAAGTTCCTATTCTCCATAATTACCATAAATATTAATCGAAAAATGTATGATTGATTCTAACATTATATTTAAGGCATTTTACTCTTCAGTTCTTTGAATAATGTGAATAATTTCGAAAATAAATATTATCGCTTAATTGTAATCAACGTGCAACACTATGAAAATAATAGTTATAGGTATATAATAATATCAAATAAGACTGTTTACAAATATTATATTTAGAAAGTTGTGTGTCAATGCGAATGTTAATATACGCGCATTTATAAGAACTTTTAACTTACCTCGTGAACCAAGAAATTGGGTTACATTTCCAAGAATCGGATAACCGGGTGGTCCTGGTATAAGATTGATAAATCGTCCCTTTTTTCCATGATGTACATAATAATTATATATCAGTAAAATAGGGATGAATAATAGCAATATAGTAATAACCATGACTTTTTAACAAAATAATTAATCAGTTTAATTAAATTTTGTTTCTTTCAGCTCTCTTCTCGTGTTCTGATATTAAGTTTTCTGATTTATTTAGTTCTTTAATTAAATTCAATTCTTTAATTGGCACATCACTGAATAAACTAAACATACATTAAAATGCATTATTTATATTTTATGATTACAATTTTAGAGATATATAATGTATTCTTTATTTTTAAAAAATTTACATATGACAAATGTGAAAATTAAATAACAAATTTTTTCACTTTATTTATTTAATATATTAAATTATTAAAAGTATTAGAGTTAAGAGATTAAAGATATCATATTATTATAACTTGTTATTTTACTAACAAAAATTTACGTTAAACCGAAGTTGTAGTATTAAAGGCTGGCCAATAACTGATGAGTTCTGATATTCGCTTATTTTTCTAAACTTTGGTGGTTAATCAGCAGATTTAAATGTTTTGCATGACGTGCAGTTTCGAAATTATGCCATATATGTATAAGCGGTATCACTAATGTAAAAAGGTTATCGGTTGAAATAGCTGACTACATTTTAAGATAAAATTGTAACGGCTGCAAAGTTGGATATGATTTCACTGACATTAAAATCAATGAAAACTTAAATTCCGTAAGAGCTCACTAAATTTTAGAGGAATATGAGGAATAACAAAACGGAACGTCTTGTGTATTATTAGTGTAATAAAATTTGGCTAAAGTTCCGAAAAGTACATACCCCCGATTTTTTTTAAACTAATAGCATATAAGGTAAATGTACCAATTAGTGGACATGACCTAATTATTGGATGAAATGTCATGAATTTTTAATATTAAGCTTTTTGCTGACATTTATGACTCTAAGTAATTTTTTTAATAGTTGTTTATATTATTTAGAAATTAAGTGTTTCATAATTTAATCATATTGAAAATGTTATCTTTTGAATAAATATTTTCATTGTATGCAAAATATGTACATTTAAAATATTAATTTATCAATAATTTCGAGTGTAAAATTGATTAAATAATATCAAATTATTTGTTAAAATTGATAAAAGTGATTGTCCAATAAGTGGTGCACGCCTACATGCGAATGCCTTAGTGAATGGACGATTGTCCATGAATAAGCGCACCGCAATTTGACAGCTGTACTAGTTATTGAACAGCTGATCAATCTGTGATACTAACTGTATTTAGTGTTCAATAACAAATAAGAAGTAATAAGAACTTGATGAAAATATGGTAAGTTAATCAATATTTCATTAGAATTAGAATATAAGCTATTATTAGTTTTAAGAAAAACAATTTTAGTTGATGTATAAGAACAATTTCGTATAATTTTTTAAATCTAACTTTGTAACATAATCCGAAGTTACGTTAATAAATGTAATAAATTCTGCTTTCTTTTTTGTTGAAGGCGAAGTGAATAAAAATATTCGAAAAAAACAAAAGCACGCCAAAAATATAAATACAACCAAGCTAATCTTAATAACGCCTTAACATTAATACAGAAAAGTATAACTTTGAGAGAAGCGATACCTGAAATTTGTCAACTCATATCTCGAAAAGTACTTAACCAAAAAGAGTGTGTCTATAGTGTTTTGAAAAGGTCTCGAGGTCAGCTATAAGAATATGTAATCAGAAATAGGGGGTTCCATTTAAGAAAATGGCGGCGACCTCCATATAACTATAAAATAGTAATTTTCTTCGAAAATTTATTTTACCATTATATAGCCCTTTCGAAACCGTACAACTTTTGTCTGAAATATTTTTCCGTATCTCCTATATTTTTTTAGATATTTCATCAGTCCGGTACTTTTTACTCACCCAGTATGAGTATACATACATACATATAGGGTGTTAGAAAAGTTTGGAAACGGTCAAATATCTCGAAAACGAAACGTTTTTGAGAAAAATGTTTCCAACCAAAGTTGTAGGGTTTTAAAAGTTCTATTCAATGATCATATTCATTTGACCTTAAGTGGAGAGGTCAAGGCAAGGTCAAGGCCGGTATGATTTTTCTAAATAAAACACCACATTTTTTATCACACAGTGTTAAAGATGACAGCGAGACGTTTCCAAAACACCATTTGATGACCTATTTTTGTTGAAAATTGTCTGAGTTATGAGCTTTAAAATTTACGGTGCCGCTAGCATTAATATAATATTATCCAGGATGTACCGCGTGGAGATTGCATGGTCGGACTTTACACCCCTGTGTGTGTGTGTGTGTGTGTGTGTGTGTGTGTGTGTGTGTGTGTGTGTGTGTGCGTGTGCGTGTGCGTGTGCGTGTGCGTGTGCGTGTGCGTGTGTGTGTCAGCAGAGATAAGGACCCCGCGGTTCGTCACTCCCGCAATATTTAATGACTCCAAACCCTCTCTGCTGTGTACGTGCGTGCGTGCGTGCGTAGACGTGTTTTACTGTTTTATCGACATTTTTGTTTAGAACTAATCTTTTAATTGGCTTTATAGAAATGCAAAATTCTTATACGGAATTAAAGTACGCAGCAAAATCTACACTATGCTGGTCGACTTTATATCAAAAACCCCCAAAAAATACAAATTTTACTAATTTTTGGCATACTTGACGACAATATTTGCTTGATACAAAAATTCTACAATAAATATATACAAAATGAGACCAGGATAGTCTAGGGATAACATATGTATAAGAACAATATAGTGCAATTAGAACTAAGATTAATAGCCTAGAAAAAAAGATTAGTTCTAATCACCGCAAGTCTGAGAATCCAATGCTAGAAAACGAGAAAAAGACAACATGGCGTGTAGAAATAGTTGCAGGCTTTCTCGAGAGATGTCACTGCCAAACATCTGTCAGATTGTCGGTGGCAACATGGCAGCAAGCCGGCGATAATCGCGTCCAGCTGATCGCATCAGTGAGACTGGATCCACATGGAGCGTAACCGTAACCTGCGTATTACCAATCACAGAACTATTTCAACGGAATTATTGAAACGGTTCTATCAGAAAGACCCTGTGATTGGTTATACGCAGGTTACGCAAGTTACGCTTCATGTGACTCCAGCCTGACGCGAGCATGGTGCGACGCGAGTTTCGCAATACATAACAAACGTGAGTGCGAGTGTGACAGAAGAGTGAAACATGAAATAACGTGTTAGTCTTTCCCGTCTTTCCGCAAGAAATATGCGCACGTTCGTTATTTATCGTGAGACTTTCGCGCCACGCTGAGCTCGCATCTCTGAGGGTGACGTCCCATGGAGCGGAATACGCGGAAGCAGAATCAGCGGATCGCCCGACGGTAGTGACAAGATGAAAAAATGTCAGATGCGTCAATTATGTGATGGTACTAGTAAAATAAATATTAGATGCGTCTAATTCCTTACGGTACTGACAAAATGTAAAATATGTCATATGCGTCAATTCCGACGGTAGTGACAAGATGAAAAAATGTCAGATGCGTCAATTATGTGATGGTACTAGTAAAATAAATACTAGATGCGTCTAATTCCTGACGGTACTGACAAAATGTAAAATATGTCATATGCATCCATTTCGACGGTAGTAACAAGATGAAAAAATGTCAGATGCATCAATTATGTGATGGTGCTAGTAAAATAAATACTAGATGCGTCTTATTTCTGACGGTACTGACAAAATGTAAAATATGTCATATACGTCAATTCCAACGGTAGTGACAAGATGAAAAATGTCAGATGCGTCAATTATGTGATGGTATACTAGTAAAATGAATACTAGATGCGTCTAATTTCTGACGGTACTGCCGAAATGTAAAATATACGTCAATTCCGACGGTAGCCAGAGACACGCAGATATTCCCAGACAGCACCCAATATTTATAAAATATTTACAAAATATTTATAAGATTTATTTGAATATTTAATAAATATTTACCAAAAAGATTTCATACATATTTTTGTGGTCTTAGATTGAACAGATCATAAAGATTTATCATAAATATTACAAAAATACTTATGATAAAGATTTTTAAAAATATTTTTACTTTATTTTTTATAAATTTATACAGGGTATCTCGAAATTAAATATGAAAACTTCGGGAGCGTGTAAGGGATCGATAAACTAAGACAAAAAGGCCTTTAGAGATTTGCTGGTTTTTGCTTCCTTCTGGAAAAAATCGCAAAAAACCGGTTTTTTGCCATTTCCTCCCGAAGGAAGCAAAAACGGACAAATCTATAAAGGACTTCTTTCTGAGTTTATCGATCTCTTACATGCGCTCGAAGTTTTTACATTTAATTTTGGGACACCTGTATATGTAAATGAAACATTGTTTATATAAAAATAGGGAAATAAAACTAAAAATATACAAAATCTTTAAATTGCTTCCTCATAGAGGAAGCTTTGTTTTCATGCGAAAATTTTTTTTCCAATTTTCAATGCCAATGGGTTTAGTATAATCTAAAAACTCAAAAAAACACACTAATTTAAAAAATGTGTGTGTGTGTGTGCGTGCGCAATAATTGTTATCGCTCCCACCTTCGCAATTTTCGAGATATCCACCAAAAAACACACTTTTTTCAAAAATGTGTGTGTGTGTGTGTGTATGTGCGCAATAATTGTTCGCGCTCTCTCCTCCGCAATTTTTGAGATATCGCCTTCTACTTTGGCACATTTATTTAGTGTCATTAGG